TTCCATGCTAGACATGGCCTTATTTCCCTAACCCTAACCCTGACCCTAACACGGGCAGGCACCCTCCCTCTACGCCCGGGGGAAATTGACACCGGCAGCAACTCTGTGCGGTAGACCGGCCACACGCACCTGCTGCTTCCACGGGCGGGAGTGGGACGGCGCGCTGTATTTCTAAGAGTCTGTCTGGTGACCAGCTTTTGCACGGATGCACTTACCAAGCTGTCGATCGTGCAGTGGGAGTCGTACTTGAGACGCTGGCAATGAAGCCAGTACGGCTACTAGCTTGGTGGCCAGTCGCTCGGTTGGTCCGCGTTAGTTTTTTTTCACTCACGCTGCAGCGCGTTGTATAGCAAGCCCAAGTACGTTCTTGGAGTGGCAGGTGCTTGCCTTCTTTACGTGGGTGCTGGAAGAGGTACTCGATTGCACTGCGCTTTTTTTAGGTGCTTGCAGTGGCAGGTTTCCTGTAATAGGTTCTTGATTGTAGTACCTACTCTAAAATATAGGCTAACAGGAGCTTAATTGAGTGCACTATGTTCTCTCTGTCACAGTTTCTGTCTTGCAGTACGACGTTCCACACTTTGACAGGAACTAGATTCCCTTATTGTAACAGGCGCATGATTGCAATTCGTGTTCTTCCTCGTCTAGCGTATGTTTGATTGCATTAAATTGTTTCCGCAACTCCTGCTTGCTCCGCAACGGCCATCCCCTCTAGCGGGTGTATTCTTCCCATAGCAAATACGTGATTGCAGTACGTTCTAACGCGTTCTTGCCAGCAGCATGTCCCTCCGGCTCCAGCCTCTGTTATTAGTTATTGACGGTCTATGTATGCCGCCCTCTAGTCTAGGCTCTCCACGCGCACGCAGCTGTCTCCTGCAGGGTCTACTGGCACGTATAAGCCTCTTGTGTATGCTGTGTATGACCGAGGTTGTCGAGGGTAGCCTGGCAGAGAGCCCCTGTGCGATGTGTTATGCTGTGTATGACCGAGGTTGTCGAGGGTAGCCTGGCAGAGAGCCCCTGTGCGATGTGTTATGCGGCAGGTTGCGGGATGCTGGCAGGCTT